ATTACACATTGGCTGGGAGATAAGAATAAACAGGACAACACCCTGTCTAATGCCAGGAGGAGGGGAGGAGGGAAAGCTGGTTATGTTCATTCTTGGGCATGTATGTGCACACCATTTATTTGCAAATTGAGGTACTTAAGAAAACTGTGCATGCAATAGTCAGGAACTGCTATAAGCATTCAGAAGCCTTTTATTGCACAATCAAATCTTTTAAGAATAAGCCATGTGTAATAGGGAGCTTTATAGTTTTTCTCCGCTGTGAAGTGCATTGAAGATTTTTAAGTAATTGACAATTATTTCTCTATGCTCTTCATCAATCCTATTTTTGTTCAATCTTTTGAAAGCTTAAAAATTAGGATGAGCAAATATATGAATACAGCATCCCTCCCTGTGACCTACTGTGTCAAAAAAGCTTGCAAGAAATCAAGCAACAGCTGCTGGGGAAAGGAAACGTGGTGACCTGAGACTTGTCCCTTCTCCACAAAGCGAGAGTTGCCCGTCTGAGTGCCAGGTGCTCCGATATCCTTGCAATGGAGAATTCTGCTGGAGAACAGCAGCTGCTAAGCCAAATCAGCTTCTAACCACTCTGTCATGAGATAGTATAGCACTGTTGGTCCTTAGAAAACCGAGAAAAGATTTGACCTTTCTTCCAAGTCCTCCCCATAACACCTGACTGCCTGGAACAATCAATCCCTACTCCACCTCTGCCATTTCTCTGCAGTTCCCACCCACTCTTCCTCATACTGGTGTGTGGGTAGCTCAGGTGACCAAAATCTTGACGGACCATGGAATCTCCCACTCCAAAAATGAGTTTAAGGAGGGGGTGAAGGAAAGCTATTCTAAAAGCTCAGTGCCCCCCAGCTACAATGGACTTCTTTCTGCTCCTCCAGTCCATCATAATGGTTCCCACGTTGGGGCCTTTGGACTTGAACTTTCTCAGCCTGGGTTGCTTTTCCACCAGACTGTCACAAGGCCGGCTCCTTCCTATTCTCCGGTCTCATTGCAAATATCACTCTTTGCCTCCCCATCCAAACAATGCTACCTATCTCAAGAAACTCAATCACTTCTTTGGTTTTATTTTCTTCATAGCACACCTCTTATTTGTTTTTAACATATACTATTTCCTCCCCTGACGAGAATGTCAGTTCCGTATGGACAGAGACCTGATCAATCTTGTTAACCCTTATAGGCTCAGCATCTTAAATCCTACCTGGTATAGTATGTGCTTAATAGAAATTTATTGCAAGAATGAATAAATAAGCAATGAACAGATGAACAAGACAATCCAGTACAGAACCGTTGACAAAAAGGTCAAAGCAGAATCTGTTACCTATCATCAACCACACTGCTGCTGTGTTGTTTGTGTGTTTGTTTGTTTTTTAAATTTTCCCAGTGGGACCAGGGCTGAAGCTACATGTAAGTGGTAGAGTTGGGAAACACAGCCATAGAAGACATGGTTTTTTTATTCAAGCTCTAAACATAAAACCACTCTGAAACGATTTGTTGGAGATTCTTAAAATTCGAATAGAAGAGAGAAAAAAAAGAATGTATTTGGATGTCAGCAAGACAGTTCTGCCAACCTAATTATGCCCCGTGACATGTAATTGTAAACTGCTGAAAGACAAATGATGAAGCAAAGCATTTATTATAAACACATTCAGAGGTAAGACTGAGGTGTTAATTTTTAAGCAACTGTCATAAATCTGGTTCCAGGATATTATTCCATTAACATTATTATTATTATAACAAAGAGTGTAAGCATGATGATGGGCTCCTTTCATGTATTTCTCAATACCTAGGAAATTAGGCTTACTAGTCAATCCCTAGCTGAGACATCTGAGAAAATACTAAGGCACACTGAAAATGGTGGAACACTAATTATACCAACACAGAGAGCTGTTCTATACATTGGCGATTCATTTAAAATGTATTCAGATCTTCATTTAAACATCATATTACAAAATTCAAGAAATGTACACTCCACAGCTCCTTATATGGCAGATTCGGCCTCCGTGGAAGGCAAAAATAAAACAAAGAGCGCACATTTACTAAATGAGAAAAGTATGGGAATGGAACTTTCAATAGTGTTTTAAAGATAAACTGGTGATTTTTCTCAGAATCAGAAGAGAATGAAAGTATCTCTTTCCTGGAACAGCGATTTGGAATAGGATTGGAGGGAAGCACTGATACGAAACGGGTCCTGTTACAGCAATAGGTGACAAAAATCATTACGTGCAGTATTGCTTAATGTTCTAGTTACTGTTATGTGTGAACAGGATTCTAAATTCTAAAATGATGTTTGTGTATTATTTATCTTCTTATAAATTGACTTGTCATTTTCATATGTTCAAGTTGTAAAATGTGTTTTTTTCCCACTTCAGTGAAATATCAGAATTAGGTTCAAAAATAGATTAAGAGTTTTAAGATCATTCACACGACCCATAATATGTAATAGTTAAAATACAGTGCAACCATTATAGATATTATCCAAAATTTTAAAAACTCGTTAAAATGGTTATTATAATAATTTATCTATTTTAGTTCATGTGGGAATGTTTAATGTCATTTACCAAAAATGAATGCCGAAATGGTATAAAATGGTATTCATTATGATTAAGACCTAATCACTAAAGAAGTCCAGAGGTATGGAATTTATAATCTTGCATACATGTTTATAAAATGTGGACTCAGGGAAAGAACCATTTAATTTACCAAGAAAGCCTTTGATCTTTAGTGCGTAACAACAGGGCAAAGGCAAGTTTCAGTGCGGAGGTCTTTCTGGATGGCTCCTACTGGCCTTGGGATTTCTTTATTCCTGTTTAGGGCACAGAGTTGACCTGCAAGACTGTCATTTTTATTCCACTGTTGCTTTACAGAGCCACGAGCAAAGCCTTGACCATAAATGAGGCAGCAGGGCCCCGGGAGCCAACTGAGTCATAAACTCCACTCAGTCACATGTGGCTCAAGGTGTTGGGATCCCAAGTGAGTCATGCCAAGCAAGTGGAATCAATTTAGGTCAGAGTCAGGAAAAACAGAGTACTTCCCCACTCCCCCCCCCGCCCC